CTTCCGACCCTAGAAACTATGAAACTATGAAACTATAAGTTTTGCTTCATGGCATCATCTCTGCCGCACTTTGGCTGTAGGGTGGCAGGATGGTTAAGTAGGTAGAGGGCTTCTAGGTTCCTGGGCTACTGGGTGCTCTAGAAGGCTGCTCAAAGTCTCCTCAGCTTTTAAACAAGCCGCTTATCAGTTAAATTCCATTGGTGGCAATTGACCAAGCTTTGTGGCATCTCAGGGAGATTTTGGCTCAGGTGGGTTAGCTAGGTGGATAGTGAGGGTATCCCTGCTTCTGCATTCCCAGGGAGCCTCCAAAAGTCTCTATGGTTTTTAAAAGTCGCTTGTCCTTAAGCCATTGGTCAATTTTATTCTATTCCTGGCAATTGTGGAGACCTTGGGTAGCTTCCCAGAGCACTTAGCACACTGGAAACCCAAAGCAGGGGTACCCTCTTTGCCTACCTAGCCACCCCTCTTCTCCACCTCAAATCAGCTGGGATGCCCCAAAGCTTGGTCAACTGCCACAAATGGAATGATATTGATAAATGACTTGGGGGGTGGGAATGTTGTTTAAAAGTGGTGGAGACTTTGGGTGGTCCCCAGAATACCCACCTTCCTGGAGACCCAGAATCAGATGCCCAGGCACCCTCCCACCTTCCCTCCCCACTTCCCCCAAAGGGGAAGTCTTATTAAGACTATAGACTAAGTCAGACAACTTGGGCAACCCCTCCAAGCACCCAGCCCCCACAACCTACTGGCCCCTTCACTCCCAAATCAGCCTGATGCACCAAACCCTGGCACACTGGCAGGCACTGAAGTAAATTGATGAGTGGCCTGTGAAAGTTCTCTTTAACACCCGCAAAAGCTCCGACAGCCCCAGAGCACCCAGCTCCCAGGAATCCAGAAGCAGGGGGTTAAACATTTCCACCCCTCTATCCTTACACATACACACACATACTCCTTGGCAAATTAAGGTACTGCTACATAGATTTTGGTAAAGTGCAGTAATGGTTTATATTGAACTCAATTATTCTCTCACATTAAACTCAATGTTAGTGAAAAGGGAGATCAGAAAACTGCAAGTCACAGATGTTGTCTTCTTCCTCAGTATCCAACCAATTGAGATTGTCCTCCTAGGCAACTGGAGAACCTGTCTCTTAAAAGTTTAAATATATAAAATACTAAATATTTGGAGTTGAATATGGATATCTCTATTTCTCTATGTCCTTCTTTCTGCTCCCTTTCCCTGCCTCTTCCTTTTCCAGGTCACTATCCCTGTTTCCTTCAATCTCTATTGCCACATGTCTGTAACAGAGGGACCTGTGTCAGCTGTTTTGATTTTTAACTCTCATTTTGTATTCCATGTTTAAAAAACAAAAGCTTAGACTAGCTTTTAGGCAAGATTATATTTTCCATACAGCCTAGGAAAGATTCTTGAAATCTAGGGCAGTGTTTCTCAACCCATGGGTTGTGATCCAAAAATGGGTTGCAAGAATAGATGAAAGGGTTGTGAACAAACTTTAAAAATGGATTCTTCTTTAAAGGACAAAAAAGTGGGAAAGTGTGGCTCTTCCCTTGCAGGCTGGCAGAGTTCTAGGAGTGAGGGCACAGG